AAACAGACTTGAATTCAATTCTTGAGGTTCAGATGCATTGCAGAGGTGAGCTTGTCATTGCCAAAAGTCCTTTTAGAAATAGTCTATAGGTTATAGTCCAATGTCCATATTCAGGGTGGCTCCAGTCAGTGACTGGGGATCTCAATCCTTGTGGCTTAAGGTTTCCCCCTCTTGAAACCCAAAGCAGATCTGAGATAAAACAGGCTGGTGTCCCAGGGTTCTTAAACATTTTCCAGCAGCCTCTTGGCCTGAGAGAATCAGCTTAAACTTCACAAGTACTCCTGTTCTTAATCTTCTGTCTCCCAAACATCCTGGCAATTAGCACAGGGTAATTTATCCATTACACAGTTCAGATACAGATACCACAACCTTCAAAGAGACAGAGACAATAATACTATTTCCCTCAAGTGTCATCATAAATGTTAATATTCCTTTTTTGATTTTTGAATCAAAGCTATAGCAATAGACAAGACTTGTTTGCTGACATCACAAGCCCTGAGCAAACATCTCCCCTTCTCTCTCTAACACTGCCGGCTGCATTTCAAAGCTCTGTTCATTTACAGGTTTCAGAGCGCTAGCCGTGTTAGTCCTTGTGACACCTTAGAGACTAACACATTTATTTGGGCATAAGCTTTCGTGGGCTAGAACCCACTTCATCAGATGCATGGAGTGGAACATACAGTAGGAAGAGACGTATCACAGCACATGAAAAGCTGGGAGTTGTCTTCCCCAGTCAGGGGTCAGTGCTAACAAGACAATTCAACGAAGGGGGGGGGGGGGCGTGTTCTCAGCAGGAGGAAAAATCACTTTTGTGTGCTAATGAGGGTGGCCCATTTCGGGCAGTTGACAAGAAGGTGTGAGGAACAGGAGGGGAAATCAGTAGTTAGTTTTTGTAGTGACCCATCCATTCATTTACAGATCTTCCCATCCAGGCTCTGGTTCGGCCATGGGTCAGGTCGATCTGGGAGTTCATTAACTCTTTCTGGCCCTGTCACCTTTCAATGAGCTATTGTATTGCACACACCCCCACCACCCGCTCCTGTCTGCCCCCTCCCGCTCAGCAGCCAGCCCCATGTGTGCTTGAGCCCGGAGCACCCACGGAGTTGGGCCGATCCCCAGCAAGGCCCCAGTGCGGGACCCCATGGCTACAGAAGGACACAAGGCCACATCTTGAATACTGCGTACGGATGTGGTCTCCTCATCTCAAAAAAGATATACTGGCATTAGAAACAGTTCAGAAAAGGGCAACTAAAATGATTGGGGTTTGGAACGGGTCCCCTGTGAGGAGAGATTAAAGAGGCTGGGACTTTTCAGCTTGGCAAAGAGGAGACGAAGAGCTGGTCTACATTGGGGGGGGGGGGGTCAATGTAAGATACACAAACTTCAGCTACGGGAATAGCATGGCTGAATTCGACGTATCCTATTCGACTTGCCCCGCTGTGAGGATGGTGGCAAATCGACCGCCACGGCTCCCCCGTCCTCCTGACGAGGTGGAGTACGCGCGTCGATTCGGGGATCGATTTATCTGTCTAGATGAGACACGATAAATCAGTCCCTGAGAGATCAATTTCTACCCGCCGATCCGGGCGGGTAGTGAAGATGTGCCCTAAGGGAGGATATGATAGAAGTGTATAAAATCATGAGTGATGTGGAGAAAGGGAATAAGGAAAAGTTATTTACTTGTTCCCATAAAATAAGAACTAGGGGCCACCAGGTTTAAAACAAATAAAAGGAAGTTCTTCTTCACACAGCGCACAGTCAACCTGTGGAACTCCTTGCCTGAGGAGGTTGTGAAGGCTAGGACTATAACAGCGTTTAAAAGAGAACTGGATAAATTCGTGGAGGTTAAGTCCATTAATGGCTATTAGCCAGGATGGGTAAGGAATGGTGTCCCTAGCCTCTGTTTGTCAGAGAGTGGAGATGGATGGCAGGAGAGAGATCACTTGATCATTGCCTGTTAGGTTCACTCCCTCTGGGGCACCTGGCATTGGCCACTGTCGGTAGACAGGATACTGGGCTGGATGGACCTTTGGTCTGACCCAGTACGGCCGTTCTTGTTCTTATGTAAGGCCTGGCCAGCCAGCGCTGCAGCGAGCCGCTCCAAGCACAGGGCACCCTCACCCCTGGGCCCCCAGCTCGGCTCCCTGCTGTGGAGCCATCTGCCCTGCAGGCACCACAGTGCCCCCTGCTGGCCAATGGCCCTGCCCCCCTCCAGCAGAGAGACACCACAGGCCAGGGCACGGGGGACATGGGCAGAGGGTGCAACCACGGCGGCTCCCCCGCTGGGGACTTGGCTGCTGGCAGGGTGGGGGCATATCTCGGTGCTCCACACCCAAGGATCCTGCCAACACCCAGCATCACACAGCAACTGTAGCCTGGCCGTAGCACAGCCCGGCTGCCCCAGCACGCGGTGCCAAAGCTGCCCACTCAGCACGCGGCCAGGCCTGGCATCCCGGGTGGGCACTGCGGGGGGAAGGGGCAGATGCCTCACGCCAGGCCAGGAAACACCGGCTGAGTCCAAGGACGCCATCGCCTGGTGGAGGTGCTGCTGGACAAGGCCCCAGCCCCCAGGCTCAGGGCAGCTGTGGCAGGAGCTAGGAGCTGACCCACCCAGCCAAGCCCCATCTCCATCACACGTTGGCTCTAAGGAACAAGGCAGGTGAGGGTCACAGGCCCAACCTAGAACTCTGCTACCAGTTGGCGCTGGGGCCACCTGCCCCCAGAGACGCTGGCGCCATCGGCACCCACTAGCCCATGCCAGGACCTGCGCAGGTCCCCATGGCACAGGTACAGCAGCGGCAGGAGGCACAGACACGCTACTAGGGACCAGGCCAAGGCCCCACAGCATCGGCCGGTCTGGGCAGGACTCCAGCAGCACATTCTCTGGGCGCCCCACGGGAGCAGCCTCCCCCACCCCCAGCTCCAGGGGTTACGTTCTGTGCAGCGCTGGGCGCTTTGCTGTTCGCCAGCCGACCCGGGGAGGGAGCGCGGCTCGGGCAGGTCACGGGAAGCAGCAAGGCAGGGGCTGGCGAGGTGGGAGGGACGTTGGCTGGGCCGGAGATTGGCCTGTGCTGGGGCTAGAGCCAAGCACGTGAGCCAGGGCCCAGGGCAGGCCAGGCTGGGGGGCAGCAGGGCACAGAACAAGGCTAATTAATGCACCAGTTTGGGAGGGTGACAGCGTGGGATTTTTGTTATATTTTGTAGGAATAGTGTGTTCCTCAGTTTCCCCTACATGCTGCATGGGTAACTAGGTGTGGGGGGAGAAGGTGGTTTGCTCTTTGCAGAGTCCACGTGCCTGGACATTTGGCACCTACTAACAAACAGCCATGCCAGGCCCCCCTCCTCAGCCAGCCACTGGGAGGGACCGGCTGGAGAGTCGGGGCTGGGGGAGGGGAGCAGGTGGGGTTAAGTGGGGGCTGCTGGCAGCAGAGGGAGAAGCTCTTCGGGGCTGGGACTGCAGGGGGGCTGAGAGCTCTGGGCCTGACCCGGCTGGGCCAGGCCGTAACGTCCTGCTCTGGGTGCTACTCAAGGCCTGGCTCCACGTGTGCCAGCCCCTCCTAACCCCCTGCGGGCAGCCGCTGGCTGTGTCCCTGCAGGGCAAGGAACCCGGGGGTGCCTGGCTCCCCTTGGGGCATCTCCCTGTCGGACCCGCTGAGGGGGGTCACGATGTGACCCGGGAGGGCTGCAGGCACAGGTCGGTCCCAGGAGGTGGGGAAGCCCAGGGCTGTACTCCAGTGTGTGACCGGGGGGGGGCTGATGCAGTGAAGGGGGCTCCCAGGGGCCGTGCCAAGCCGATGAGCAGCAGGGCCAGGGAGCCGTGACGGGGGCACCCGCTGCCCAGCGTGGGGGGGTGGGGAGTGCTGCTGTACCCTGAGCTGGTGACTGGGGCCATCAGCCTGGAGCAGGGACTTGGTGCACCAAGGAGCTGCCCTGCCTTGAGCCTGGGATCCGGGACGACACATTCAAACCCAGCTCCTGCCGTCTGGGGTCCCTCCTGCAGCACTGAGCGCTGCCCCCACCCTCCCCGCGCCCGGCTCAGGGTGGGGCTCGTGTGTGCAGCCAGGGCTGCAAGGGAGCTGTGGGGTGGAGCCAGAATAATTTGGGGGGAGGCCTGGTGCTGCTGGGGGTGGGGGGGCAGGGCAGAGACCGCAGGATTCAGGCTGGCAGGAGGGGGGGGGGGGCTCCTCTCCTGCAGAGCTTGCGAAGCCCCCTCCCCATCACAGCACGCCAGGAGCCACCCTCGCCCTGGGTGCTAGGGGAAGAGCCGCCCAGCTGGCACCCGGGGCTGGTCGCTTCTAGGCCGATGCACAAGCGCCACTCGAGGAGACGCCAGCCCAGCCCCCCAGCTTCCCTCAACAAGGAACCAGGGGTCGGAGCAATCCCCGGGGTGCAGAAAACACAGATGGGGGTGCAGAGAATGTGGTGTTTTCACCCTTTGTGAGAACCACACACCGCAGCACCCCCTATATCCAAGCCGGCCGGCCCCGGCTCTGCCGCACGCGGGGCAGAGCGCCCACAGGGATACACACAGCGGGTCAGTGTAACAGCAGAGAAATGCGGAATCATGTTTATTGGGGGGAGTTTATCACAGAAAACTAGGCTCCCTGGTTCTACCAGCACAGTCCTGAGCAGCGCCCCCCACTCCGCACGGGGCAGCAGCATCAGCCCCGCTGGCCGCGGGGGGGCTGGCGGCACAGAGCAGGGACGTGCCCAGGGGGGTTCTTAGTGGTGCCGGCTCAGCCAGGGCAAGGGGAGCACGTCCTTTACCAGCCGGCATATGCGAAGCAGAGGAGTCGCGTTCACCCCCCCAGGACTCGGCCTGGTACCGGCTAAAACCAGACGTGGGGCCAGCCCTTAATAAACCCCCACTGGAGAGTCAGAGCCTGGGCCTAAGTGGTGGACAAAGC